CCACCCAGCTCAGAGAGCACTAAGGACCCCCACAGTCCTCTCTACATACCCCTCTCCCTTCTAACACTGATGATGTTACCCAGTTGGGTCACGAGACGTCTGCAAGAAAGCCACCCAGCTCAGAGAGCACCAAGAACCCCACAGTCCTCCCTCCTCCTCTCTGCACACCCCATCTCCTAACACTGATGATGTTACCCAGTTAGGTCACGAAATGTCTGCAAGAAAGCCACCCAGCCCAGAGACCACCGAGGACCCCAGAGTCATTGTCCTCTTCCTCTCCTCTCCACAAACCCTCCCTTCTACTACTAGTTCCTTCCTCCCTCCCAACCTCCCTTCTCCAACACTGGGAAGTTTTTAAGAAGAGACTGGACAGCCATTTGTCCGAAATGGTCTAGGGTTTCCTGCCTGAGCAGGGGGGGTTGGACTAGATGACCTCCAAGGTCCCTTCCGAGTCTGTTATCCTATATTTTAATGATTAAGTGAAGGCAGGACAAGAAGCAACAGATGGAAACTGATCAAGGAGAAGAAGCAACCTGGAACTAAGGAGAAACTTCCTGACAATGAGAACAATTAACCAGTGGAACCACCTGCCTCCAGAGGCGGTGAATGCTCCAACACTGGAAGTTTTTAAGAAGAGACTGGACGGCCATTTGTCTGAAACGGTGTAGGGTTTCCTGTCTGAGCAGGGGGTTGGACTAGATGACCTCCAAGGTCCCTTCCATCTGTTATTCTGTTATCCCTCCCTCCCTCCCTTCTCCAACACTGGAAGTTTTTAAGAAGAGACTGGACAGCCATTTGTCCGAAATGGAACAGGGTTTCCTGCCTGAGCAGGGGGTTGGACTAGATGACCTCCAAGGTCCCTTCCAACTTCATTATTATGATTACTATGAACTTTGCCCTACAACACCTGCCGAGAAACCTAGCCCTATGTATCCCCCTCCCCACAGAGTCAGTTTTAGCGCCCGGACCCACACCTGCCCGCCTTTCAACCCGCAAGACCGGGACCTTTGCCCTCGCTCTACTCCTCCGGCAGTGTTGTTGCAACCACGAGCAAACAAGCCATTGCCCTCTCGGCTGACGGCCCTTTCACCCCCGTCGAAGCGCAAGACAGGTGCGCCTGGCCCTCCCGGGAGCCCTTTCGTTGCCAACGGTGCGGGTTTTTTTTTTTTAGTTCGTGCCTAAAGGAAGTGCGCAAAGGTGTGGGTGCAGCAAACTTGCCTGGACTTCATAAGAATGCAAAAGCACCACTCCGTTGTGATTGTAAATTGAGGATTACCTACACAAGACGTTTGTCTGAAATGGTACAGGGTCCCCTGCCCGCCGAGCACGGGGTTGGACTAGATGACCTCCAGGGCCCCGTACAGCTCTATCCTCCTCTTTCTCCTCTTCTTCATCCTCCTCCTTCTCCTTCTCTTTAAGAAGAGATTGGACCACCACTTGTCTGAAATGGAATAGGGTCTCCTGCCCGAGCAGGGGGTTGGACTAGATGACCTCCAAGGTCCCTTCCGAGTCTGTTCTCCTCCTCCTCCTCCTTTCCACAAATCCCTCCCCCTTCTAGCATTGATGATGTTACCTAGCTGGGTCATGAAACGTCTGCAAGAAGACTACCAAGCTCAGAGAGCACCAAGGACCCCCCAGTCTTTCTCCT